AAGATAGTTTATAGTTTTCTAAATATAAAAAAAATGAAATCACTTTTCCTGCTGCACAAAACAAAATACACAGAAATCACAATAATACTTTCTTAATCTCTAGAACACACATGAATTTGCTTTCATTTGGTTAGGTCGATTGTTTTCAATTCTGTCAAATTAAATCTGTAATGATAATCATAATAAGCATGATAACTAATAATTCCAATAATGATAACAATAAGATGACGTGAAGTTGGAGAGAGAATATCAATGGTAATAGCAATGAGTGATATTTGTGATGTTAAAAGTGAAAATTATGATTTCAGTGCATAGAAGATCACCGACAAAAATAACTGTTTGCCAGGTATCAGCTATGTCTCTTTTCAATCTGTCTCTCTCTCTCTTCCAATGTCTCTCTCTCTCTCTCTCTCTCTCTCTCTCTCTCTCTCTCTCTCTCTCTCTCTCTCTCTCTCTCTCTCATCTCTCATTCTCTCTCCTCTCTCTCTCTCTCCTCTCTCTCTCTCTCTCTCTCTCTCTCTCTCTCTCTTCTCTCTCTCATCTCTCTCTGTCTCTCTCTCTCTCTCTCTCTCTCTCTCATCTCTCTCTCTCTTCTCTCTCTCTCTCTCTCTCTCTCTGTCTGCTCTCTCTATGTCTCTCTCTCTCAATCTTTCTTTCTCTCTCTCTCTCTCTCTCTCTCTCTCTCTCTCTCTCTCTCTCTCTCTCTCTCTCTCTCTCTCTCTGCTGTGTGTCTGTGTGTGTGTGTGTGTGTGTGTGTGTGTGTGTGTGTGTGTGTGTGTCTACATAATAATTACATCTAATTTGCCAACAAGGATGTATATTATATATAGCAGTACATAATGTTGGACAGCAACTCTTTCATACTTTTCAGTTTTCGAGTATGAGGCGATTAGATTTCAAACGCATATATGCCAACATTACTATTTTATATATCTAAAAATACATTTTATAATTATAAAAGAATACGCTAGCAAGTAGATCTAGCCGTATGAAGGGGCTGGAGCAGGCTGGTAGGATTGAGCAGGGTACTGGGCCTCTCCCTGGTAAGTCACTTCAGCCACGAAACCGGAGTCGCCGTTGACAGTGTAGGTGACCTTCTGGAGACGACCGTCGGGGAGCTGGACGTAGTAGGTACCCTGAGTGTCGTATCCGTTTCGGCCTTCTTGGTGACCGAAGTCGTTTCCGATGTTGTCTTGTACAGCATAGTTGAAGTCGTACTGTGCAGGTCCCTTTTGGAAAGAATAAAAATATATAATTATGTGATCCTCGACAGATATGCAATATATAGGCAAGCCAATAGGGTTTCTCCTCAATCTTAGTTAAAAGGAAAATTTACCGAAGGAGCCGGTGCAGGGGCGTTATAGGAGGGGACAGGAGGAGTGTATCTAGGACCATTGTCGGCAAGAGTGCCCACAGCGAGGGCAAAGAGAACGGCAATCTGAAAATAGGAGAAAAAAACATGCAAATCAATATGTAAGATTTTTTTTTTTTCTTTCTTTTTGGATGGCTACTTACAATTTTGCACCTTGATGTCCAACACTGTCAAAATCCACATTAGCGATTTAATCCTTAACTACAAATAAAACCAGAACAAACCAAATACCATTACATTCAACAGTCACTCCAAATTTTAGCATAACTCCTTACATCATATTGATTTAACAATCAACATGTAGACCCGACTCCAGCACATACTCACCAGGAAGACCATTTTGGTAGGTTTGGAAAATGAGAGACTGATGTTCTCCGTTTGATGCTCGAGGCTTATATACACAGTGCTCCGCCCATCCTGCTTGCTCATACATCATAGTCACGTAATAGGTGTTACTGTACACATTCTCTTTATTAATACCGTCATCATTGTCGTTATCATATTAGTATAATGATAGCTATTTGTTGCAGCGGTGGTAGTGATATTGACAATGATAACAATGGTGATGGTGATATTTCTAATTATAACGATGATATTAATGTTAGTAATAATGATAATGATCACAATAATAATAATGATAGTAATGCTGATAATAATGTTGACGTTGATAATAATCAATAATCATTATTGTAAGCAATATATATTAATTTATTACAGTGATAGTAATAATAATAATGATCCTCATTATAATAACATCGTAGTATATAATGTGGGTATGTGTGTGTGTACATACATATGTGTATGTGTGTGTGAAAATACATATATGTGTGTGTGTGTGTAAATATATATTTGTATGTATATATACACATATAAGTTATATGTATATACATATATATTTCATATTGTATGTAGTATATATACACATACCTATGTATATACATATATATTGTATGCATATATATATATATATATATATATATATATATATATATATTATATATATTATTATAATGTATATGTATGTTCATATGTGTGTGTGTGTAAACGATAATAGTAAAAAGTACAAAACCCAGGGTAAGTAATCATCATCCGCCATGTATTTACACGGAAAACATCGGAATTCGGTGT